TGAAGTCCACAAGTCTTAAAGTTGCCAAGGTTGGACACCCCTGGCCTAAAGGGCAGATGTCAGGTTTGGAAAAGAAGATTAAGACAGATATCAGAACAATGACAAAGAGAATAAATCCTGCAGAGGAAGTGCTGAAAATTCCCTTATTATTTACAAGGATTATAAAAATGAATTTTTCGCCTGTCTAAGCTGCCTTGTTGGGACCTGCTAATTTGTCAGGCCTAAGTAGAGCTGGTTCCTGTTGGAATTCCTTAGGGGAAGAAAGGAAGTTGCCAGAATCTTCACAAGTGGGGAATTGTCAGTTGCCTGTTTGCTAGCCAGGAGGCCCAGTGAGTCTGCTGCTGTGAAGGAGGATATCAAGCCTCTTAACTACTGCTGCCTATCCCATTTTTCTCTTTTAATTTGAATATTTTATGTTTGAGGATTTTTCTCTTACATGCTAAAAGAGGCCTTTTTGTTTTCAGCCATTGATCCTGTCTGCAGGAGGTTTTCTACATCCTTGGAGTCCAACATTTGTTTGCTGTTACTCATGAGTCAGCTCTTCACCTCTGTCTACAGGGGATTTTGCCAGATGGATTAACTTTCTTCTTTCCGTGCTGTATGTGGTATCCCTGGATAGAAATGTTGATTATGCCAATAGCCATCAGCTACGTAGAGCCCAGCTGGAGAAAAGCAAAGCAAGGTGTTCGCTAAACCATGAAACAGACGGAAAAACAAATGCTGGATTTAAACCAGGTTGCATATAAAAAGGGTTTGCACTTTTGTGTTGAAAGTGCAAGCAACTTTCTGAAGTGACCTCCAGGTTCATACTGTGGAGCCTGACTGTGGGTGAAGATTTGTGCATACAGAGTGGTGATAATGGGTACATTATAGATTGGATGAGGAGACTGTACAAATTCTGAGCTCCTCTACCAATTCTAGTCATATTCACTGGCATACAGTTCTCAGTCCACCGTCTATTTACATTCAAAAATTATCCATCCTTTATCTAGCACTCCACCACCAACCCTATTCCATTTACAGTGCACATTTAAAGTATCATTAAGGAAATGTACATCACTCCTGAAAACCCCTTCCCATATTATCACCAAAATGCTTAAAATTAGGGACAGACTGGAGGGGAGGAGTCAGAGCTCCAAAACTGGCAAACGTAAGAACAAAGAAGAAAAAAGAGATAATCTAAACCCTAGAAAGACAGAAAGGGGAATAATTAAACAATCTAATGCCATCTAAGAAACAGGTGGGAAACTTTTGATTTTGACTGTGGACCCATCTGGATTTTATTTTAGAATAGAAATCTAATATATACAGAAAGACAGAAGATCCCTGTTCTAATAAATTATGCATGTACATAAGGGGTAAACTTCCTTCACTTATGAAATAATAGCAACACTCCTTTATAAGATCAAAGCTCTAAACCCCAACATCTACCAATATGGAATACCTTCTAAACCCCAAACAATTGGTTTTTGTCTCAGTTGTTACCTCATTTTCATTGCAGCCATATAATTGGCTAGTTTGATAGGTATAACATGGTTGGCATCTGAAAGGAGAAGGGTGATGATAATAGCATTACCAAAATTGGCTAGTTTGAAGACAGCTGCAAATCATGTAATTCTTTCTTTGTAAGGATTGGGGAACGGAATGGAAGCAGCAGCAGCAGTATGGAATTGCCCAGAGGGTCACAAAATCATTTTGAATAAAGAATTGGGAAAAGGCAATCATTGTCCTACTCTTTATTGTATCTCTCTTAAGAAAAGGATGGAACCGTGGACTGTATTTTCATTGATGCAAAAATGTTCCCCCCTCTGTTACTTTTTTCTCTATTTACTCAACACATTTAACACACCTATAGGCAATATAAAAGCAATGTGCGCTTAGCAGCTTGGTTTGGCATCAGATCCCAGCAAATAAGTATTTATCCATCCAACAAGAATAACCAATGGAGAACTCCTTCGTAAGAGGCTTGTCCATGTGACGAGTACCTCCTCTACTTTATCCTTCAATAGAAGACTCTCTCCAGGTAAGTATTCAGAAACATTCCCCTGGGGTCTAGTTTCTCCCTAATGCAGCAGAACTTCTGAAATCCTGGGTACATATTCTCAAAATCCTTCCGGGTGCATGTATGAGCCTGGGGACAGAAAATACATTTTATGATACCGGTCTTGAAAATGGTGTCAACAAGCATAGGATCACAACACCTACACAGAAATAATTCACCTGTTATCCTCAGAATGTGGTTATATTGGCTATGGGTGCTGCAAGTTGCAACCCAAAATTTTGGGTAGGCATCCTTCAATAATTCCTGATAGTAATTACAGATGGATGATATTGTAAAATACATCACTCTGTCTATGTATACATCCATCAATTGGTCTGTCTTCCTGCAGTCTGTTTAAAGCATTTAGCATGAATTGGTTGTAATCTCTGAGTTTCTAAATTAACTCCTAGGGACACTTAGAGGATCTACCAATACCTCACTGACACCTGCCATACTTCTGCCCTACCTGATTTCATTTTTTAAACTCTTTTAAAGCCTAAGAAACTCTCATGATCTGAAACATAATTTATATTTCCAATGTATTGTTGGAAATAAATCCCAGAGGCATTCTTGAGAAATAAAAAGATTGGTATCTTCAGCTCAGTGCCTGCTTTCAAAGTTTATATCTTTGAGTATTTTAAAGCAAGATATTAGATAACAATTGTGAGTTTGTATAGTTTTCAATTGGACACACTGAATACATGCACATGAGAAATAATAACAAATATATATTTTAAGAAATGGAAGATAACCTACTCCATGGTGCAGGATCCTTCAAACAGGTGGGAAAGTCCACCACCTCTTTAGACAGTATGTTCTAATGCTGAACAGCTGTTATCATTAGAAATTTTTTCTTGATTTGAAGCCTAAATCTATATCCTTCTAAGATAAGCCAAGAGGCAGAAGTTCTCAGTGATATCAGATACATTCATATGAGAGATAGTGAAAAAGTCTAGGTGATAGCATGCAATACAACATGGAAAACATGGGTGGGGCTTTGATCAGCATTTTTATTTATTTCAAGTCTCACTTTAGACTGACTGTGTCACTTACAGTATTGATACATACAATACAAGGGCTGGAAAATCATAGCGATATTGTAGTCTTTCTGTGCACATTTTTATTTAAAGACCAATAGCATTTTAGCCTAGCTTGGGCAAGAGAATCTTGAAATTGTATGGCCTTGAAATTTCAAAGCAGTTTGCTCTTTTTTTTTTTAGATCAACTAATTTACATATTCATTTTACTTTTAAAATCTCCAAATCTATAAGAGTGGAAGCAGTTGTGGTAGGGACTGACAATGCTATATAGACAGGTAAAATTGTTACATAGCCCTGAGCAAGCATCTTAGCCTTCCTATTTCAAGGCTGAGAAAAAAATTGTCACAACTCTATTGCCTTAAAAAGGTAGAAGAAAAGATTTTGAATTTAAACCTTGGAACTTCTGAATTCTGTGTCTTCTTCACGTATATGACTTCTTCTGCAATAAAGCAATTATTCTAAGTTGGGGGCCTGTTTTAAAATCTGTAGGATGGTGAGTATGATGCTATGATCAAAGCCCCACTTGTTTTTCATGTATTATACAAAAGAGGTGGGGCTTCAATCACAACACACCTGCCATTTTGCAGATCTCCATCCATGGAGACCCTTAGAGCTGAGCATATGAAAGCTCTGTTGTGAAATCACAACAGAGATTTCTGGTGGGAAGTCTAACAAAGCCCTGTGATACTGTTGGGTTCAATGCCAACTCTTATGAACAATGATGGAGCAAGCAGTCAATCTTAGTATGGTACCCAACTATGGGACAGCACATAGAAAATAGTCGTATCAGGTCAGGTTGTCTCCCTAATGGATAAAAGACTGCATTATTTTCATTTTGTATTTTTTTATGTGTAAAAATGATCTGACTCTGGAAGGAGGAAAGTGTCTGTGTTTACTAAAAGAAAAGGATTTAACCTATTACCTTTGCCCAGTGTGGTCTCCCTCCAAACTTCTTCATGACTCCTTCATAGGCAAGCCAGTAGTTAAGGCGTGGAACATCTTTCCCGTAGGGCCTTGAGAAAGAAGCAGCAGCAGAAAGTGAGAACAAGGATTGAATGACTCTCCCTTAAAGAACATATTTGTGTGGCTCATGACAGAGGGAATCTTCTGCTTTGCCACATCGTGACTATTCACATCACCCCCATTTAAAGTCATCCTGAAGGCATCTTAAATGTGGATTCTTCATACTGCCCTCATCATGGGGATTTCAGATACATTTAGACTGGTGTTTAGCTCACAAGGAGCAACTTCAGCTCATTTGTTTGATTTACATACCCAAGAGCTTAGTGCTATTTCAGCACTAAAGGAGGGAATGGCTTTTGTTTTAATCTGGCTCCTTTCCAACAAGTCAAGATTCTGCAAGCTCGCATGGTTAAACAATTTTTCTTTCTTTTGTCACACAAAGCCAAGCATGAGGGGGAAGGTTGTTAGCTCAGGCAAGTAGGCAGTAAGTCACAGAAAGTGCACATGCAACAAACACTGGGTGATTTTGCTTTCAGCTATCTGTGAAACAGGGAAGGGGGATGTAAAACGCTGGTTCAAAAGTAGTGGTGAGGAGAGAGGTCATGCACATTTTGTAACATGGTGCTGGATTGCTGCCAGCATGATTGCAAATACAGAAGACATCTTTAGTACTAGTAGAGGCATGATAAGATCATTGTGGGGGTAGGACTTCTTGAAGAGCTTCCGATCTTCCCAGTCACCAGATGTTTCTGGTTATTCAGTCTAACTTTCTGAATTGTCATATGTGCAGTAAGCTAGTACAATGATCTTTAGCCTGGGCCCCTCCAGATATGTTTTCAACTTTAGGTCTACAAAATCCCTGGTTGGCTGGAAATTCTTGTAGTTGCATTTTCAGTAAATCTGAAAGGCACCATTGGCTATTCTAAAATAAGTCTTTGTTGGAAGTGGGGTGTTGAGGAAGAGAAATATGTTCTTCTTTCTCTCTCCAGGATCATTCCAGCACTTCTACAGGAGGGTACTGCATAAATTGACCAGTAATAATTAATCTCACCAACAAACACCACTACTTCAGAAAGCCATCTAAAAAGCATTGTTCCAGACAACTGATATGTGGTACTGAAAGTGACCATATTGAATGTCAATCTTCTGAACATAATAGGATAAGTGTTGGGTCAGAAGGTATCACTACTTCTTTGCAGCTGAGACTCAGTTTCAAAAAATATATATAGGGAGGTAGCAGAGTTTATATATTATAAACTCTGATTTAAGCTGGCAAACAGTAACTCACAGCAGGAGTGCTGGTTCTTCAGGGTGCTTTTCTGATGTTGCCATGCCCCCAGGGACACCCGATGGAGCATCTTGAGCATCCCAGGGAGGAGGGAACTTCTGGAAATAATGGCTATTGGTTGGGAAGGGAGCTACCTTTGTTCCCTCAGAAGCTCTCTCCGTGTCAGACTAACATCATAGATGGGAGATTCTGGGAAAGAAAACAGGTGTTCTGCTAGAGACTGCCATTAAACTTGAATGGAAGGTGTAGAGGTGTCATTCATTCATCCCGTTTGAACCACAAATCTTACATGTTTTTTCAGCTTAGGGTGAATTAAGTTTCACTTTAGTTTTCATTGGTACTGAAAGAAACACAGGCCTCCAGTCACTTAGCTTGCCTTCTCCAGTTATGCCTCCCCCCTTCTCACCTGTACATAATAATGTTGATGTAACAGCTATTCCTCTGGAAACAGGGGCTCAGGAGGAAGTCATCCCCTTGGGTGAAGCGCACTTCTACTGGGTAGTGGGCTACCATTTTGGGATTCGTCTCCAATATCCCTTTTAACTCCAGAAGAGCATCTTTTGTTTTCTCACTAAAAAAAAAAAAAAGACTCACTAGTTAAATCAGACCGTATTTCATAATGGACAGTATTATCTTTCCATCACTATCCATGCCTTCACATGACTTGTATGGAGTCATGGAGGTGACCTTGGAGAAAGAATCCAGAAGTTGTTAGGCTAACAAGTACTGCTGAAGGATGCATTAAACACAGGAGGGGGGGGGAGAGAGAATGAGGAAGAGACTCAAACTCCTCATCTATAAATAGGAAGGAAAGGAAAACAGAGACACACTTGCAAAATTCTGTTGCTATATTCAATCTCAATAAAACAGAGTTCAAGTCATTTTGTAGAGTCAGTTACTTGATCTGGTCTTACTTCATAGGGCTGATATAAGAGAGAAACCATTTGCTGTTGTTGTGGACCAACCTCATACCTGGAAGTGTGCAGTAAATAAATGAAAGCTAAATAAAGAAAGGCATTCTCAAAATCCCTCATTTTGAAACCTTTTTTAAAAAGTTGGGAAATTGAAACTAATTGAATTAACTTTAATAAAGACAAATGTTATTCTCTTTAGGAAGAAAAAAATAATCAAATACAGATGCATGATTACTGGGCTTGCTAATAACAAAGATGAAAAGAATAGTACTTGATAGTAGTTGATTGCAGATTGAATATGAGTCAGTTATGGCCAGAAAGAGAAATATAGTTTTAGGTCATAGAAGCATAGGCCATAAAACTAAAGTTTTCAAATCAAGGGCAAAAAAGAGTTCCATTTTATTCTGTCCAGATCTTGGGAACTATGTCCCATTCTGGGCAACAATCTTTTATGATCAAAACTTGTTAGATTCAGGGAAGAACAAATGTGATCAAGGGACCTGAAAGAAAGAAAAAAAAACATATGAAGAGAGATTGAAGGAAATTGGGACTTTTAATTTTCAGAGAATAAGGCCATGGAGGAGATGGTAGCACTCTTCAAGCATCTTTTCTTCAAACACAAACCATTATTTTTAATTACATCAAAGGCAAAATAGACCACAGAAGAACAAGATCTATTCATCTGTAACTCTGTGTACAGAGACCTGAAATTAGTAATTCAATTTAGCTAAGCTATCAGTAAATGTAAAGGGAGCAAGGAATCACCTTATTATTTCAGCCTAAATCCTTGAAGGAAAGACAAAATACAATTATAAAAACTGCCTGGAGGTGGGCTTTAAATTCAGTGTCTGCCTTTAAGTGACAATCTTCTGTGTTTGAAAATGATACCAGAATGGAATCAATTAGCAATTGCAAGGTTATACATCCAATGGGCAAAGGTGTAGTAATAAATACAGTCTGAATTCAAAGGGAATTCAGTGATCATCATGCCAGACAAGCTTCACAGCAAGGTCTTGTTTCAGCAAACAGCCTGAATTCTGATGTTATACATGGAACGGATTGAGTGTCTGGGTCCAGATCTGAATGACAAGGGTGAGAAACAGTGGATCCTGATGTCATCTCATCAGAGGTGCTAAGGATGGGTCCTCTAATGGCCTTTTTCTCAGCTAAGGGTAAGTCTTCAGCCAGGGGCATGACAAATCTTATTTCACTTGTTTTCTGTTTCTAATTCCTCAAATGCTTTGGACATCATCCAGCCTACTTTGGTCTGGTTTCAGTTCTTCAACTTGCTGCATTGGAACTTCAGTTAAGTTAAGTTCCGTTCAGTTCACTTAAGACAATGATTTTATGGTGACGTTTTCCTTTTATGGAACTATAAGCAATATTTATGATTGACAGTGCCTCTCTGATCTCAGAGACCTGTTTCGTTTTCTTCTTCAACCTTTAAGTTCATTGAACTGTGAAGTTATTACTACATATATTATCCTAGATGTTTGTGTGTGTGTGTGTGTGTGTGTGGTGTGTGTGTGTGTCTGTGTAGTATGCCTATATTATCCTATATGTATAAGCCTAGAACTCATAGTCTCTTTTCTAAGTCAGCCTCTTCACCACTACACCAATCTGACTCTCGATCTCAAAGAATTCTGTGAGTATAGGATCACCAACACACAGTAAAATAGATTTAACTTTTAATGGTAGACGTCTGCATGTTAAATGTCAAATATCCTCCAGATATTGTGGAATCCATTGTTTCTACCAGAGAAAGAGAGGGAGGGAGAGAGAGTCCCATTTGACTTACATGGGAATGGCCCAATCTTGCACATGCTGCTTGAATCGGCATTCATAGTTGAAGATTTTGTAGCTCAAGTTCACATTTTCCACTTTGCCAGTGAAGAGGAGCCAAAAGAAGAAGTGGTTGATCCAAGATACCAAGAAGGGCAGGAATGTGCTGAAGGAGAAGGAGAAACAAGAAGCTGAGAAAGACTAGCTTAGTGCTGGAACACCTGCTCTGCATGTCAAAGCCTTCAGATGGTATAGCCACAGCAGTGAATCTCAAACTTGGCGAGATGTGTGGACTTCAACTCCCAGAATTCCCCCGACAGCATGGGGAATTGGGATTTCTCTCCTGGCTGTCAGGAAAGAAAATCTTTCCCAGTTTGCCACCTTCCAAATCTTTGATTACAACTCTGTGACCACCCTTCCCCAATCTGATATCATCCAGATGTGGTGGGATTGCTTTGCCCATAATTCTCTGCTGCCGTGGCCAAGTTGAATGCTCCTAGTCAAACATGCTAGGGGCTAGACTGAAAAATATCTTAAGCTTCTGAAATTCCACTTCCCTCGTTTCTACTTTGCAGAAGCAACCAGGACGGTGGTTGTGGTGGTGGGGAGTCAATGTGGAAGTCATGAAAGAGAGCTTTGTAGCGCAAGACTTTGGCTGCATGGGCAATAAAAGTCTTCCCTATTGTTGCATCTAAGCAAGCTGTTCATGTCACAGAAATTATTCACTAACATAGCACGGAGTCCTTTTGTAGCTTACACAAAGGATGAAAAGGAAGCCATGTGGGAGTGGCAACATATGTCTAGAGCTGTTAGCATTTCTTCTATGGTCTCCCTCTTATTTAAGTACAAGGCTAGAAACACTGAAAACTAAATAGCATTCTACAAATAAAGTACTGGGCTTATAATCAACTTTGTTATTCATTATTTCCAGGGCTACATTCTAGCAGGCAAAGAAACCTTGCTATCACTCCTCATATTTATTGGGCCACTGATTTCAATAGAATAGCACAATTACAGAGTAATCTCTAGTCAATCTTGGCTGATTTTGTAAAACCTATGAAAGGCCAGATCTGGTTTGATTTGACGAGAAACCATGAGGAAACGTTTGGGCTGTGGTCTAAACTGAAAATTAAAGTACAGTTCAGTTGCCAAGAATACTATCTCAACTTGTGAACACCATGCAAATGAGAATGTACTTTTCAACTATTTATGGATGGATGGATGGATTATGTACCATCAAGTTGTTTTCAACTCCATTGCAATCCATCCCTCATCTGTTCTTTCAAGTCTCCCAATGGTGCACTTTTGAGTCCATCCATTATGGGTGGGGCAATTTCTTTTTTCCATCAATTCAGCAACTTCACAAAGGTGCTTTCATCTTCTGCCCACCAGAGGACAGCCTAAGTTCAGCTATCACACTACTAGAATAAAGTGTGAGATTTACAACTGTAGTAGGAGATTTTGCATATGTCTGTCTATGAGTAATCTTGCTTGATTCATAGTGTGGATGAAATCCCTTGACTTCCAGGAATAAAAAAGTTGATATATTTCAATTCATTTTTGAAGGCTTAGAAAAGGGGTGGATAAATTTGTGAAGTGACCCACCCCAAGCTGACCTGTATAGAAAACCTCACTGGAAGCCAAAAGTGATGAGATACAAACAAGACAAATGTAGTCCTTCCATCCACCAGGTGATTTTTTTTTAAAGAGATGTAGAAACTAACCTGATCCAAAGAAGGAACTCCAACAAATAATATCCAATGGCATAATCCCAAAACCAATTTGCTGAAGAAGAGGGAGGCTGCAAAACAAGAGTATTGGATTTTTATGAAATTGTCAGAAGGCTGGGGATCTGGCTTTTAAGCCCATGATATTGTGAGAACCAATTAATGCTAAGTTCATCATAAACATGAGCATGGAACAACATGGAATTGATTGATTGCACTGACTGATTGCATCTTTTATTTTTCAGAGCTCATACAGGGTCTTATATGGGGTCTTGCCTTCAATTTATGCCAACACCCACCACCTTGTAAGGTCCTTTGATCTGAGAGACCAAGTTTCTGATCCAAACTCACACAGTGAATTTCATGGTTGGGTCTCTCTGGTCCAAGTCCAGTGCTCTTAATCATTTAATTTTAGAAGGACAGACCAGCCTCTCTCAGCTGGCACTTGTGAGATAGTCTGGGAGTATTGATGGGGATTAGCCTTGTAAAGGCATATTTGTATTGAGATTAGATGTAACTTTTTGGTCTATAAAGTGATGACAATTATTATGATTTACCTAACAGGAAGGTTGAATGAAACAAAAAAAGATAATGGGTACCCTCTGTTGGAAGTCCTGTTGAAATGAGCAAGACTCAAGTCACCCCATAGCAAGGGGAATGTTCTTAATTTCTGCCTTCCTAGTTTTCTTTCTCAAATAAACTTAATGGCAAATTACTTTATCATGATAGAATATACCCACCTTGTTGGTATGATCTTGGTAGATGATGCTCACATTTTCACTGTGAGGGAACCAAAGGAAGCGGAAATACTCAGATTTCTTCAGGTGATTTTCTAGGTTGTCAAGAACCTACAAGATGTCCAAATTGAGAGCTGAATGGACACATCTTTAAATTGGGTGATATTGCTCAAGTGTCTAGTTTGGTGTGCCACCTGGGTGACATGCTAAATAATTCATGCTCAAGAGTAAAATTATGAATTTATTATTTCTCACCTTTCCTCTTGAACCTCAAGGAGGGATGCATAAATACCCTCTCCATTTTTACTCACAACAGTAAGTTGTTGGGGAAAATAGAAGGAGGAAGGCGTAACAGGACAGACACAGACTTCAGAGGATAATTAGGACTGCAGAAAAAATAATTACTACCCACCTGCCTTCAATTGAGGACCTGTGTACTGCACAAGTCAAAAAGAGGGCTGTGAAAATATTTACAGACCCTTCACATCCCGGACATAAACTGTTTCAACTCCTTCCCTCAAAACGACGCTATAGAGCACTGCACACCAGAACAACTAGACACAAGGACAGTTTTCCCCTGAAAGCCATCACTCTGCTAAACAAATAATTCCCTCAACCCTGTCCAACTATTTACAAAGTCTGCATTACTATTACTATTAATCTTCTCATCACTCCTTATCACCCATCCCCTCCCACTTGTGACTGTATAACTGTAACTTTGTCGCTTGTATCCTTACGATCTATATTGACTGTTTCTTAGTATGATTCGATTGCTTATTGTACCCTATGACTATTATTAAGTGTTGTACCTTGTGATTCTTGATGAATGTATCTTTTCTTTTATGTATACAGAGAGCATTTGCACCAAGACAAATTCCTTGTGTCTCCAACCACACTTGGCCAATAAAAGAATTCTAATTCTAATTCTATTATGTATTTTATTTATAAAATAATAAAGACTGGATAAAAAAATCTAATAAATAAACAAACTAGCAGCAAAACTGACACAACTGAGGACTGCATTACATCCCAGAAAAGCCAAAGGGTCCTCTTGGGGTGGGCGGGGGGAGAGAGGTGATTAATTTGATTGTTGCAAAATAGATTAACCCTCTGAGGCTTCCCCCCCCACCTTGTCGTTCTCTTTTCTAGGACCTGATTCTTTCCTGAGGGGAAGAAGCCTGTCAACTTTGGAAGCCATATTAGCCTCAGAAGCTTCCATGCTGCCACATTCCAGTGCATGGGAAATTGGGAGGGGGGATTTCATAGAGTGGAGGTAGTTAGTCAAAACAACATTCTTATTCTCAGTCAAGGACAAGTCATCCTGCACCTGGAGGAGGAGTGGTTTGAGGAAAGTCTTCAGTTGGGATGGATGGTGATTGGGCCATGTGATGGACTGATGGGTGCAGGGGGATGGAGTTTTGAAAGTTCAATCACCAAGGGAAAACCCAGAACTCTCCAATTAGATATGCCAATATGACAACTCTAATAAAATGTAACTTGGAGAAGTTGCTTGTCTCTGAGTTTATTGGGTTGGAGTTTGTTAGTTGGAACGCCGACACCTTTCTCAACCCTGGAGGAGCCTTTGAAATAATTTTCAAGATCAGGAAACCCTGCCATCTTCTCTAACTGCCAATCATTGCTAAAGAATAGGTTGAGTTTTCTCAGTTCCTTTCTGTACCCAAGGAATTTCGTTTACCATTATGTTTTCACCAGCTCTTAGTCTTCTTAAAATGGAAAGGTTGCCTTCCATTTGAAAATTAATGGTAGCTCACTATAGATTTCTGTTGAAATCCAGGAAAGAAAATACTCAAAATGAAAGAATAAAGTAACCACTGATTTTGTATTCCCTCTCATTGAAACCCATGCCTACGAGGCCTTGGGAACTAAGAAACACAAATTAACATGCAGGAACTGAAGAAGGAGTAAAATATATTGGATAAGAATGGAGAGAAACAAAGAAGGTGAGTAGCCACAGAAGCTCAATAATTCATGTAAAAAGAGCATCTGTTTGTACAACCTAATCTGGAAGCCCATGTGTAAAATAGAAAAATGAGATATATATATATATATCATGGCACAAGAAAATCATGGCACAAAGAAAAGGAAAAAAGTTGGGGAGGGGGAATCTTTCTCTTAATTTTACTCTCTCCAGCTGCTTCAGGGAAAAGGAAAAGCTTTGAGGATAAACAATGTAACATTGAAGCATATTTATGGAACTGCTGAAAACCAGTCAAAGAAGAGAAGAGAAAGAGGCCACTCTGATTCTGGTATTACATGAAGACGTGAAACCACTTTCTTCTGCATCAAAGGTCAGTATTTCTCAGTGACGTAATGCCTAATCCAGGTCACTCATAAAATTATGGGCTCAGATTTAGGTCTTCTAAATCTGGACATCTGCACCCCTGTTTTAAAATAAGAAGGGCTGCTTTTTATCCAACTTGTCCTTGGTGAATTAGAAAGTCTTCTTAGCATCCCATTTCCAGTGTCCAGCCTAGTGCCTCTGGAAGCCTATAATCAAAATAGGAAGCTAACAAGTTCCCCTTATTAATGGTCCTGCCTTTGTCAGTATCAGGTATTCAGAGATTCAGTTGTTCAGAAGGTTTAATTCTATGACTGTAGTTAATTGCAACTGAACCATCATACATTCATTTATTGAAGTACTAACATGACCACCTTTCAAAGACTTGGCGTTTGCCAGATTTATTAGATAATACTGTGGTTCCTAAACATCTAACATGGTTGATTGCTGGGCTGGTTGTGAATTATGGGAATTATAGTTCTTTTGAGAGTGAGATGGGTGGTATCTAAATTAGATAGATGATAGATAGATGACAGATAGTTAGATGATAGATAGATAGATAGATAGATAGATAGATAGATAGATAGATAGATAGATAGATAGCTGATAACTGTAGCTGTAGGTATAGAGACAGAGAGATAGATATAGATGTTTGTAAGGCATTAAGTATTTCAAAACTACAACAACAAAAAAGCCAATGAGGGGAAGAGGGAAAAAATGAATTGTTTGAAAAATTGGTCCATCAACCCCTATTTCTTGTATGCTACCAGTTTCAGTAAAACTGTCAACTCATGGTCTCTATATTTCTTGAAAAAAAGTATATGAGAAAATCTTGATGGTCACACCAAAGACCCATTAAGTCATCCTTAAAAGTGGATATGAATGTAGTAGACTTTTCTTGCAGTTGGTCATCTGTGCTTGGTATTCAGAGGACTCATCCTAGTTTTTTCTTCTTTTTATGACCCTGTAATCCCCTTTATCAGGATGGAGTTGGGGCATCTGAATGGAGCTGAGTGTTTACTGGCCAGATGCCCTTCCTTACACCTAAGTGGAATTCAGAGCAGATATGAGCCCTGATAGAGATACACGTGTCACTGTCTAGGATTGAATTTTCAAACTTCCAAATGGGAGGCGAGTGTCTTCACCACCTTCCAGCTCTTCTTAGCTATTTCTACATATTTTCATTATCTTTATTGCCATCATGTATCAATTGTCACCAAATACAAGTTATCTGGGTCAAATATGGATTAAAACATGATAGTCACGCTGCCAATAAAATTTAAGTAATGAAAAGTGCATGAACACTAGGCCGTCTGCAACTGTAATAGCATCATGCTTGGAACAAAAGCCCTTAAAAGCTAGCGTAGGAAAGCTAGCTGTGTGCTGCATCTAAAACAACTTTCCACAAGTCAGATAAATTGGACAATCTCACTTTAAACAGAGAAGAATATCTTTCTATTTATTTTCTCTACTCCTTGAATAATTTTGCATACCCTACTCACCTTTTAAATGAAAGACATTTAAAAGTTGTCATTTCTCCTCTGAGGAAAATTGTGGCATGAATTGAGCAAAGTTATGAGGCAATATTGTTCTCATCTGCACCTTTCCCTGCTGTCCCCCTCCAGATGGGTAGGGACAGCCCAGTCCCTTTTGACAATGTGGGCTGGGAATTTGGAAAGCAGCCCATCTGCCTACAAAAGGCTGCTGTAAGTTATTTGTAGGTCACAGAGATAGAGACCAAAAATAAGATAATTTGAGCCTGGTCATTTAACAGATTAACCGAGTTGGAAGGGAGCTTGTAGGTCTTCTCGTCCAACCCCCCACCAAACAGAAGACCTTACACCATTTCTGACAGATGGCAGTCCAATCTCTTCTTCAGTGATGAAGCTCCCACAACTTCCCAAGGCAAGCTGTTTCATTGGTTGATTGCTCTCACTGTCAGAAAATTTCTCCTTATTTCCAGGTTGATTCTCTCCTTGATCAGTTTCCATCCATTATTCCTTGTTTGGCTTTTGGGTGCCTTGGAAAATAGCTTGACCATCTTCTCTCTATGGCAGCCCCTCAAATATTGGAACACTACTATCATGTCTCCCCTGGTCCTTCCCTTCACTAGTTTAGCCATGCCGAGTACTTTCATTGTACGTTTTAGCCTCCTATCCTTTAATCATCTTGGTTGCTCTTCTCTGCACTTTTTATAGAGTCTCAACATCTTTTTTATAGTGTGGAGAACTCTGGACTGATTTGTTCGATGATTCATTTGTTGGTTTTCTTGGCTGTCCACAATATTCTCAGGAGTCTCCTCCAATGCCATAATTCAAAAATGTCAATATTCTTCCTATCTTGCTTCTTCAAATTCCAATGTTTGCTTCCATAGATTATCACAGGAATACCATGCCTAATATGATTTTGATCATTGTAGTTATAGATACATTATGGCATTTAAATATCTTTATCATGGCTTTCATGGCTGCCCTGCCAAGTCATAATCTATGGCTTATTTCTTGACTGCTTGATGGTTAATCCTGAAAGGCAGAAGCTATCCAACACTCTGATATCTTGATTGTCAATTCTAAGTAATGAATTGCATGCTGACTCTGCCTACTGTCAGGTGTCAATCTTGACTGGCTCAAGGTTGACTCCACCTTCCATCCTCCTGAGGTTGGTAAAATGGGGAGCCAGCTTGTTGGGGGCAATATTTTGACTCTGTAAACTGCTTAGAGAGAGCTGTAAAAAACTATGGAGCAGTATATAAGTGCTAGGTGTTATCAATAAGTTGTTCTACCTGTTGTCATTAGTTTGGTTTTCTTTATATTTAATTTTAGTCCCATTTTTCACTTTGCTCCTTAACTTTTATTACTAGAGCTTGCATTTTGAGCTACATGTTTAGCGTCATCAGCGTATTGCAAGTTATTGATGTTTCTTCCTCCAATATTAAATCCATGCTCATGTTCTTCCAATCCATCTTCTCTTAATATATATTCAGCATATAGGTTGAATAAATAAATGGAAAGTGAACAGCTCCCATTTATCTTAGAAGCAAACAAGACAAGAATCTTGATATAAAATAAAGCATTCTTAGAAGGGTACATTTGTATTGTAACCAAAGTCTGTCAGAAATTTGTTTTATGGAAGATAACATGGACGTGTGGCATTTTCCAAGTATAAATATGTTAAATATATATTGTTCTTTCTTATCAGTGGGAAAAGAAGAGATAAAAATTTTGATACACCTGGGGAATACACACAAATTTTAGTTACTAAGAAGCAAATTTCAAAGACCAGATACTCTCTGAAAAGAAACTTAATCTTCCTACGTAGGATCCTCAGTTTAGAAGATTTCCTAACAAATTAGATTAATTGAGACTGCTGCGAATTGAAAAAGAATACTTTGTTAACTAAGTACTGCTGCATGCTGGTAGAATTTTTCTAGCAGCTTTGATTCTTCTGAGACATTAAAATATCAAATGGCAATTTGGCCACAGAGACACTTCATGCACCTCTCAAAATGGTCTTAAATTGCACTTGCCAAATGCAGCATCTGAGCTTACCTCCTTGAGTGTAGAAGGGAAGGTGGTTTCTTGCAGGTAGAATTCTGAGACACATTGGAAAGTGATTGTGAGAATGATGCCCAAACAACCCAGATGTACACAGGCCGCTTGGAAGACTTCAGGATTCACAGTTTCAGAGCACTCCAGGATTTCCCCTGAAGCTGTCAACAGTGTCATGGCTACCACCTGCCAGGAGGAAAGCAAAGGATCTGGTTGAATCTGGGTTATCAACTCACCTATCACAGTACATTTGAAGACTTCAGTTTTACTTTAAGTTGCTTGCATGCATCCACCATGAAAGAAGTAATATATGTCAACCTGGCCAACTGGTAGAGCAACAGGATAAATCATTCAACAAGATTAATCAACATGATAAACTCTTCGATCAAGTGAAAGCATAATACGGTTGGTTGGTTTCAGTACGTGTGATACAAGCATAGATGCTATGTTTTCTTAGCCTGATTTAACCTAGCCGCCTAGTTGCTAATGCCATCCTTATATGCTGTTGGTGCCATTGCACTTATGCAAGGCTAACTGTAGACAAACAACTGAATGTAGTATATACACTCATCCCACTGGAAAGCATTTCCTTGAGTCAATCTGAAGCAACATAACTTCTACTACAGCTTTCTCCAGCTTGATGACTTTCAGGTTCGTTGGACATCAATTCCCATAAATCTTTGGGAATCCAAGAGATTTTGAGGAAAGGCTATTTTACTGCCCTTGAACCTTATCTTGGTGTTGCTATCATCATATTGCATGATGGGATTTCTCGTAAAATAGTTGTCTTCAGCTCCAGTACTAGCTTCTTTTTCTGTTTAGGTTATGAGTTGTGGGTTTTTAACACTTATACTGTTTTTTTCTTAACATTTGTTGGATACCCAGAATCACTTTGGGAAGAGGGGTGGCCAGGATAGCCTTTTTAGAGCAATCTGCATTTAGGATACAGGAGCAAGAAAAGGAACAAACAAAGCAGGCTCTAGATTCATAAATCCATCCTGATTCAGTGCACAGATTCAGTGCACAGGCATTCATCTGTGAGCTTTTGGTGTAATTATTTCTCACAGATAAATGAGGGAGACTTTAAATTGCTGGAATTCATATGCATCTTTACTTGATGTTCAACTATTTGATTCAGTTTTAAAAAATCTTGCTTATTTGTATGTCACCAGCCTCCATTCTGATTATCATGAGGGTACTTTTGAGATATTTTAAACAGGATGCCACATTAGAGTCATTACAGTTCAACTCCAGGCTAATTTTACCATAAAATTATTTTATTACATCGAAGTCCAAACTGCTCATATTTTTAGCAATGGCTGTGCTTGCTTGCTTGCTAAGTTTACCCATGGTTATCTGAACAATTTTAATTGAACAAACCATTTACTGGAGTCTCATGATACACTGAACCATAAATTAACTCCATAAGAAGGGAGCCAAAAGTTAGCCAAAGTTGTTGTCAGTTAGTTTGTGATTTCTTGTGTTATAAAATAGAATTACTTTGTAAATCTGTTTGTAAAAATATCTACTTTCTTAACTTATTTTGGTTCAGTAAAATCTGATTAGTTGTAAAAAGATAACATCAGCTTCATTTATCATAAGATCCCTGACTGGGTCAAATCACTCATATGATTGATCTAAGAAATAAAAAGAAGCAAAAAGAGAGAGAAAGAATGGTGCTCAACAGAATTTGAAACACAAACAATGTTGAAGATTCATAGCGTTGTATCTTTGAGAAAAGAGAAAGGAAAATTCCATCACTCATAACTGGCTAATTTAAACTCTAAATTGAAAGTATCTAACAAGCACCAGGAAGATTTACTTTGAACTGATAATTCAGTTTTAATATTCATTTGATGTTTTGTTTCCAATGGGATTTTTCAAGTATTGATTCAGACAGAGTCATCTTTAGGAGACAGTAAAAAAAAATTAAGTCAAGGTGGTGGCATTGACTGTAAGATCAAAAACCTACTGATTTTTATGCACAGTGTATGTGCAAAAATATGTAAAAGAGGCCAGAGCTTTAATTGCATGGTCATAACCATCCACTTGGCTTATTTTGGCTCCAGCATGGATGCTCCTGATTTCAGGTTTTGTTCAGTTTCAGGAACATCTGTTTCAACAATATGAGCACCTGCAGTTCTGAGACATGACCTTTGATCTACTGCCAAGATGTGGGGAATGTCCTTGGTCTGTTGCACTGTTGTATCATTGGTTTTATTGTTTCATTGAGTTTACAGTTGCCAGAAAGTCAAGATCTTAAGGTACCATCCCCTAAGATTATTCATAATTAGCATTCTTCTAGAGCTGGATGAGTCCCATAGCTGGAAGATGCTAGATGATGATGATGTAAGAAACTGATGGACAATGTTTTTGAGACCCCAATTCTTCACACGGTGCGTGATGAAAGCATCCCAGCCATCCATTTTTCCCAACCTAGCCCAGTTTTTTCCCCTCTCATGAAACTTTCTCCAGCAGAGGGCACCAGTGGGCTGAAATTCAGGCTACCCTCTGGGTCTCCAGTGGCTCTACAAAGTAAATTTCATCAATCCTCTGGTTTGCCTTCCCTACAATCTCACTTGCTAAAAATGACTTCCCAGGGGAAAGAAAAAAACAAGGGACGGGAAGTAGACAAAATTAAGAGTCTGAGGCCTTTTGCATGGTGCTGTTATGCTAGGTCTTTTTCTTTTTTTCAATCTCTAGGCAATCTTCTGAGGTCAAGGTGGTTCAGAGGAAGAAACAAGCTCTAGGGAAATCACACTAAAATCAGTTGAAACAAACCTGTCTATCATTCTGAAAACTTTGCAGCTGAGACTCTGCTGCTATCCTAGGTAGCCATTTACGGCTTTGACTATATACAGTAACGAAGATGGACTTCCATTCTAGCAAGCAAGAGAGGCCACGATATGGGCCAATATCATTGCTTTCAAAATCTGCTCTCTGCACAGTTCTACATCATTCACTAATCTAGTGGGTCTGGGCTACATCCTACTGTGAACTTGAGGACTGCTTCACATTTCCCGTCTTCCTCCCTTGCACTCATGTATACATGTATGCATACAGACAGAATAGACCTCATGCTAAACTATTGCTTAGTTTTGACATAGTTTGCCATTTGAACCCTGCCACTCTTGTTATAAGCTAGCATTTAGACTTAGTGTGCCATGTGAACTAGGCAAACAAAGCTAGTTTAAATAACTGTGCTTAAACAAGCAACGACTGAGCACAAACTCTGACCAATGCTACATCCTCTGGCGGTGGATGGTATAATCTAATTTATAATGGGAATTTCCAATTTTCTACCCTGCATCTCCTACCACTAATCTTCCAATATCATGTCGTGATATTGATCTGTGGTGGTGCAGTATTGCAGGCTAATTTTGCCCATAGTGAGGAGTTTGATACTGACCAGCTCAAGGTTGACTCAGCCTTCCATCCTTCCAAGGTCAGTAAAATGAGGACCCAGATTGTTGGGGGAAATATCCTGACTCTGTAAACTGCTTAGAGGAGGATGTAAAGCACTGTGAAGTGGTATATAAGTCCAAGTGCTATTGCTATTGCTTTGTTCATCTACTTTCTCCAAACCATGCCTTTTTTGCATCTGTCGTGCCATGCTTACCAAGATCAGGATTCATTCATGGGTATTTGAAAGTTAGGTTACTTTGAGTTGGTGTGCATTATTATATTGCTTGCGCTAACATTGCTTTCTTCCAACTGAAATTTGGATTCTGCGTTCTGTGTTTTGAGACTCTATTTTGGAGTTTACTTTGTTTCTTTTCATTGCAGCTGCAGAAATTCCTGATTCTGTGCCTGAACCACTGTTAAAGTTGTAAAAACCCTGTGCTCTTTTGTGCCTGGTTACCTAAATATTCCTATTACACATTTATTTTCGTTCACACTCCCAGTTGGTTATGATAAGTTTTCTGTATGTCAACATGCACTTATTTATAAGCACTTGCATCAGAAGAAAAACTTGGTCACTGTAAAACCTCCTTCAGAAGTTTTCAGGCAGGAAAATGATGTTCAGAGGCAGAAAGAGAAATGGAGCCAAGATTTCTCAAGCATGTCTTCCTTCCTCAACCTCTCATAGTACAGGCTGTCTTTTAGGCATATAATGTATTGGTCTTTGTTTCACCGTCTCCCCACTTCCTAAGATTTTCCCCTTTGTTTCCCCCTCAGAACTGTTTCTGTCAGCTGGTCTTCTTGGTTCTCAAAAGGCCATTTTGTCATCTCTCTTGTCTCCCAATTGATTACCCACTCTCTCTTATTAGCCTCCCCTCTCTTTCTTTTCCACATCCTTCCCTTGTTGTGTCTCACAATTCACAGATTTTTGTGGGAGGAAAATTATTAGCCACATTCAAAGGTAGGTAATCTTGCTAGCCACCATGTGTGAACCAGGGAGAACAATTTGTTTTAGAAGTTGCCACAAATTGCTATTAATGAACTACAGATAATTGGAGAAAGGAATCAACGCTCTGGGGTTTATCTTAGCTCCACCCCACCCCATTTCACAGCTACAAATCCTCACACTTACACAGTATGTAAGATAGGCAGCAAAGAGCGTCCTATTCAGCAACTTTATGACAATATTCATGAATTAGTGCAAACGGGCCTTTATATTATCTAGGTTTGTATGCACATTTGCAAGTCCTTGGCTTGTGACCACAATTAGGACCAAAATTTCTGCTGGTAAGCAGGGCAATCGTTAAGTGAGTTGCAGCCGATTTTACGAACTTCTTCTTTATGACTACCGTTGTTAAGCAAATCACTACAGGCTTTTATGACTCATGTGGTTGTTAAGTGAATCCAGCTTCCCCCTGTTGATGTTGCTTGAGGGAAGCCAGTTGGGAAGGTCATAAATAGCTCTCATATGATGACCCTGGGATGCTACAGCTGTCACAAATACATTACGGTTGCCAAGGGTAACAATTCTGATCATGTGATCATGGAGTGCTATGTGGTGTGGCCTGTCAGCCGCCAGCCACTTCAACAGCCAAATCAGAGTAGGAGGAGGCATGGGAGTCAAGGTCAGCATCAGGGTAACCTGGGAGTTCCGAGGGAGAAGAGGGAATGGAGATGGCAGAGAGAGAAACAGAGGTGGAGCCTGGGCCATCCGTCCTCCCTCAGATGGAGACTCAACATGTCCGGAGGTGGCTGATGAAGAAGAAGTGGAACAGCTGGGTCCA